ATTTCATTAGGTATGATAATCAGCTCATTTCCAATAAAAATGACAATCAAATTGAGGGTTGAAAATATTAAAGAGTTCTAGACAAGCTATATTCTCCTGACACTTTGGTTATGTTTTGGTCAAGTCTCAAGAAAATCTATATCGCCAAATAAAGTAAACGGTTATTTTTGTTGAAAAAACCATAAAACTGACGAATAGTGTTTTTAAAAGTAAAATTATGGCTCTGAATTAAATTATACGGTTCTCAATGATTGATGAACCAACTTTCAATGTAAGTCAAGTTTTCAAGTCTTTTGTTTGCTCATAGAAGTTAACCCGGCCTTTAATAAAAACTCTTTAGAATCTTTACTCGGTTATTCCAATATTGTTTTCAATTATAACCATATCACCTTGACAGAAACATGGATTCAAATTTTTTGATTTGGTATCCGCAGCGACCCGGACTAAGAACCCTTCTATACTGTTTTTATAGTTATAAAATAACTCACATCGCTTTTGTAGCTTAGTTAGTTTCTGTTGTTTTATTAAAATAAAGAACTTCATAACGTAAGCTTGGCATTTTTGTACTTTTTTCTAGAAACGGGTGAATGAAGAATAATTTAAGTTTCAAAGTTCACAGATGGCTCCGTATTTTGAAAGAAACTCAGACAGTTAAATCATCAATGGCTGAACTAATTTATGATCAACGTATTAATATATGAACACATAATCGGTGTTTAATTTTCAACAATCTATTTATCTCATCAAAGATATACCCGATGACAATATAATTCTACGAAGGTCCAGACAATCAGTCTTTATCCTGTTAGCACCCCCTGACAAGTCCAAGTTTGATCAGATCATTTTTGATCATAAATTCCATAATTACAGCCAAAATTACTTAATCATTAATCAACATATATGAACAATGATAAGAAACAAAGAAATGTTGGCTTCTGAAAACTGGTGATACCGTCGTTTTATGTGTAAAATTTGTCTAGAACGCAATTTTGCGTGAGCTTCCGTTGTTCAGTTGTTATACTCACCCTTAGAAAGGGAAGAAATTGGGTTCGGGAGTGAACTTATCTATGCAAAAACAGGTACTGAAAATCATATCATCATGTGCCTTCAAATAATATTGCATCTTGTATTCTTTTCCGTGTTCGTTCAAAAGGCAGTATTTCTAACGAAATCTTCAAAAAAGGCACCACCAAGTGTCACGAAAAGTATAGTTCTGTAGTTTCATTTATAACAACATTAGGCACCTATTGATCCAATGTTTTTTTTTAAAAAACCAGCAGCGCTACGACTACGCTCAAACAATCGAGTGTGATCTTTTTGTTGAATAAATGTGATTATTGAAAATCGGTTCGAAAAAAAATAATATAAACTCGCTTACAAATCGATTACGAATCAGTTTCTGTAACAACAAACTGATTCTTTAACAAATCAGCTTTTGTCTATGGCAAAGTTACGGCAAGACCGCTTGTATCAGGACGAAGGAAGCCCTGAATGTTCCAACTGCGTTTCAATTTCTATAGAACAAAAAAAAATTTAAAATAGAGGAAGTTTTTGAAAAAAAAACAGAACACTTTTCGAAAAACTTTCGTTCATGTTTTCTTTCTAAAAAATCAACTCCCACACTACAGCATATAGCAAACAAGCATATAGAAAAGTCTTAAACAGACCAAAGACTATGCCTCAACCCAAGTGAAATATATCGCGCGTTAATTTTCTCAAATTTGAATCCTTTAAACCCTCATGATTTTCTAAACATAGATCACAGGTGAATTATCTTTTCATTTTTTTAGCTCAGGACAACTTTACCTTTCGATTGTTATTTATAAACTCCTTCGATATTTGATCACATAATTTTTGATCATAAAGTCCATAATTACAGCCAAAACGACTCAATGGTTAAACAACATATATAAAATTGATAAAAAACAAAAAATGTTGGCAACTGAAAACTGGGTATATCGTCGATTTTAAGTGTAAAGTTTGTCTAGAACGGAATTTTGCGTGAAATTCCGTTGTTCAGTTATACTCACCCACAGAAAGGGGTAGAATTTTTTTCGAATCTGAACTTAGCTATGCAAAAACAGGTAGAGAAAATCATATCAATGTCGCTTTTTGTAAATTTTTGCGTCTTTGTTCGAAAAGCGGGTATTTCAAACCAAATCTTCAAAAAAGGCACTATCCAGTGTCAGGAAAAGTATAGTTCTGTGGTTTCATTTATAACAGACATTAGGTACTTTTGATTCAAAGTTTCAAAGTTTGTTCTTTACAAAACCACCAGCGCTACGACTACGCTCAAACAATCGAGTATTATCTCTTTGTTTAAAAAAGTGATTTTCGAAAATCGGTTTGAAAAAAAAATCATAAACTTGCTTAGAAATCGCTTACGAATCAGCTTCTGTTACAGTAAAGTGAATCAGTTACGAATCAATTTTTGTCTATAGCAAAGTTATAACAAGACCGCACATATCAGGATGAAGCCCTGAATGTTCCGACTGCCTTTCAATTTCTATGGAATATATTTTTTTTAAATGAAGGAAATTTTCAAAAAAAAACAGAAAATTTTTTTAAAAAAACTTTCGTTAATGCTTTTTTTTTTCTGTAAATCAACTCCAACACTACAGCTTATAGCAAAGTATGCATATAAAAAAATCTTAAACAGACCAAAGAATAAACCTCAACCCATGTGAATTATATCGCGCGTTACTTGTCTCAAATTGGCATCCTTTAAACCCTCATAACTTTACAGAACATAGATCAAAGTTTGAAGTTTTTTTTTTAATTTGAGCTCAGGACAACTTTACCTTTCGAATGATTTTAGAAAATTCCTTCGCAAATTGCTAGTTAAAAAGATTGTTGAAACTTGTTTTTAGAAAAAAACAACCGAGCGCAATTATTGCGTCAATTTTTTCAAAAGTAGGAACGAAAGTTGGAAAATCTAAGCAAACCGTAGCAAATTCTATGCCATGTCGGAAATATGACGTAAGTTGCAAAAATCTCACTTTGAATATGTAGCAACGTTGAATATGGGCAATCAACTAATAAACTGTTCCCATTCAATTTGGCAAAGACCTTTTTAATAGCTCAGTAAAAAAAATAGAAAATTCGAAAACATACTTCTGCTTGTTTTTTGAAAGATCCTGAGTAGAATTTAGGTTGAGTATTCATCCCTAGGTGAAATTGTTGCCAATCAATTTGATTTTTGTTAAAAATTGTTGCAAAAAATGTGAAACTGAAAAATGTGAATAATTTTTAGATGAAACAAAAGCAAACTGAGCCAATGCATTAGGAAATTCAAGTTCTTAAATAGAGCTGAAAACTTACAAGATGTACCATCTTTTCTAGTTTTAAAGTTAACCTATTTTTTTTAAAAAAGAAAACGATAACTGAAGTTCACTAATAGCCAATTCAGTTGATAGTGAATTTAAATAGATGGCGTGTGAAATAAATAAAAATTGTTGGAACAATTTGAAAGGCTCAAAGTTTTTTTTATTCTTCAATCTGAATTAGTTATTTTAAACGCTTTGATCAGTTGTTTGAATTTGATTCGCGTCATAATTTTTTTAGCTCGTAAAAATTTCATAACAAAATATTTTAATTAAATAATAACAGTCAAGTAATTATGTGTCAAGTAATTTTGTGTCGTAAATTATATGCATCAAACTTTCAAGGTTGTCAAGGTTCATTGAATATTTATGACATTTATATTGTAACTAATCAGAGAAATATCCAGTGTCCATACTTGCAGAACTTTTATTATATTTTGTGATAGTTTCTGTCGGAGGTTATTGTTTTTTCTCTGATTGGTATCAAATGAGTTTGCTTATTTTCCTAAGATAATTATGTGATAAGTGCAAATTTTTAAAAAACTTTCATGTCTTGATCATCCAAAAATGTTTTCGACTACTGTTAGTTGTTATGACTACTGTTTATTTTATGTACTCACTAAAAATTATTCGAAACAAAAAGTTGTTGTAATAAACATTTTAGCAGGCTAGCTAACAATCCTCTGGAAATATTAGTAAATTTTTTCAACATGCATTCCAACAGCTTCATGCTTTCTCTGATATTCATTAGCTCAAAGGGGTCCAACGTGATACACAGGGGCGATACATAAAAAAATAACGACAGCTAGCCTAAAAAATGTACAAAAACCACTGATTCGAAAAATTCAAAATGAAAAAATATATATATCTAGTTTTTTTATTTGTCTCGAAGGTGGTTGAGTTTGAAGAAAGAATTTGAGAAATACAATAGCCGATGTGAAATAAGTATTCAAAAGCAACATTCATCAAAGGGAAACTGAGCAGAAAGCACTTGGGTAGACAAATGATCCGAAAAACAAAATTGCCATAAAAACTTTTAAACATTTAAACTCGCGTTTACAAACAAACGGAAAAGCTTACGTTTTTAAAAACCCGTGGCATTTTTTTGAGCAAAACGAATCATAGTTACAGTGGTTTTTTTGAGAGAGTGTTGAAACTAGAAACTTCACGTGGTACCGTATACTTCACGTATACAGGTCAGGATTTTGACTTGTATAGTTTGACCAAGTTCAAAAAAAACAAGAGGCCTAGAGTCTACACTGAAAGTTGAAACAAAGTCAAACTAAGGTCCAACCAAAAGAAGAAAATTGGCCAGGCTGTGGTAGACATGAAAATTGAGATCAAGTGAGAGCTCTTCCTCATACACATTATTGCCCTAGTAGGGGATTGTATAAAAAATTACTGGCGGATGGTCCACAAACCGCCATAATACAAACCTCCATATCGTGAAGCGGAAATTACATCAGAATAACTTAAATTACATCATAACTCAGTAAAAATTGCATACAAACAATAGCAATCTGTTTTTATGTTGCATAACAGTTCTAATTTTCGGCTTTTTGGAAAGTTAATGTTATATTCAGCTTGTTGGCCCTTCGGCTTATTGACCTACCACCGATTTACAATCCAAAAGCGAAGGCCTTACTGCTACGTTAAGTGTGTCCTATTTCATTTCAGGCGAGGCCGGTCAGGACCCGGTGAGTATCGGCTGGAATCTGCTGCAGTACTCTCTCCAATGCTGTGGGGTGGAGGGTCCGGGGGACTGGAACCAGACTAACTGGTATGCCACAGATCCACAAGTGCAGGAACTTGACCAGGTAATCATATAATTATTTAATGTTTTTGATGTTTTCATTTTAATGTTTTTAAATAAAAACATACAAATGATGAATCGATATTTGATGAAAGTAGTTTCAGAGCAAACAGTGTTGCCTTTTTCACGTAAAATTAACTACATGCTCGCCAAATTTGAGATCCTTTGGAATTTTGCTTTTCTTATATTTGCGTCTTTTTCGTCGAGTACATCATATTGAAGTTCTTTTAACAATAATTTTGTTTCTATTAGAAAATCCCGAAAAATCCTCTCGATGTTCAGAAAAGCAGTTTGAAAACTAAATGTATTCAGTTTCTGACACAGTCAGAAATATTCTACTGATGTCAAGCGAAATGGTCTGTCATGATGGTCGGAAAAAGTTTATCTGAAACTAGTATGCAAAGCTTCCTTTCCCATCCCACCGCGCCAAGAAAACAATAAAAAGTTCCTATAAAGAAGTCTAAACCATTTTTTGCTAAATAACTGTGGTCAATTGCCCTTTTGGACACTCTTGTATGCAAACCATTAAATGCTGTTATATGAAACAATATTTTGTTGCAAGCCAAAAAATGAAATCATTCAAATCAAAGCAAGAAATTTCCAAAACTTAACAGGGGGAAATTCAACTTAGACCATGCTCTCTATGATTGGTCAGAAATGTATATAAAAACCTTCTGGGTCAGAAAAAATTGAGATTTCTGGAATTATTATCCAAACACTTTTATAAATGCGCACGCGAAAAGTAATTTTAGTGAAATGGATTTGGAAGATAGCAAAAAAAAACAATTGATTTAAATGAAATAGCAAATCATTTGAATCCAGTCTTTTCAAAAATTGTGTTTGACATCTCTAAGGCTAATGGGAATACAAACTGTTTGCCGCCAACAAGGTAAACTTGCTATCTTAAATTAACTAGTAATAATTGAAATTATCATTAAAAAAACAGTTTCCATCATTCCTCAAAGAATCATATATCAAACAAAATTCGTTATTGAACGACTACCAAATCGGACTTGGGGGGGGGGGGGGGGGGGGGGAATCTGCGACTGCGGGAATCTGTTATCACTTTTACTGAAATGTTTTGTGAAAACATGGATCATTGAATAAACAAACATACTTTGTCTAGATCCTGCTAAAACTTTCGATTCCATTTTTCATGAAAATTTCTTTACAAAAATTGTATATATATATATATATATATAGTTTTTTTGAACAACGCATCAATTCTCCGGCAGAGTTTTTTAGGAGACCGTCAGCAAAATGTTAAAACTCAAAATCATTTTTCTGACTGGCAAACACTCAATCATGGCGTACCACAAGGTACTGTTTTGGGACCATTGGTTTTCATTCTTCATGTGAATGGTTTTAAAAACCAAAAAAGCAGAAAGATGAATTTAGTGCAACTTGTTGATGATACGAGTTCCTTATGTGGAAGAAACTCAAAAGTGGACCTATGAATATCAATGCTAGAAACGCTAAAAAAACGTACTTGAATTTTAAAATGAAATTTTTTTGTTCCTAATGTTGATAAAACAGAATTAATTGTCTCTGGGGAAGAGAAAAATTTAGAAAAAAAACTTGTTTCTAGAGAAGAAACAATTTCCGCAATGCAATGTTCCAGATATCCTAAGTGTTAAAGGACAAAACCTCACCTTTTCAGCAGAATTGAACAACGTTTTCAGCCAAATGGCTGTTGCAATTAAGTCAAAATACTGTTTTCGACATATGGTTTTAATAGAAACAAGAGTTATGTTTTTCAGCTCGTTAGTTTTGTCACTTTTATTTTTTAGCTCAGCTTTTTTTCAAAATCTACCCATGTCTCAAATTAACAGATTAAACCAGCGAATTCACCGGGGAATCAAACTGTGCTATCTCCGCAGAAAAATGATAATGCGTGATCTATTTTTGAAGTCTAAAGTTTTACCAGCCGAATTGTTCATTACCCAACATGGCTTGACAAGAATGTTCGTTGTGGCAAAAAATTTTGAGATAAATGAAATTGGTAGCAACTTTATTTATAACAGAGTACCTGTGAAATGAAATGAACGCCTAAAAAATTAAAACAAAGTAGGTTTCTAAAAACAAATTGGGGAAAAAAATCTGAAGCAAACAATAATTGTTGTAAATGGAACAGCTTAAACATAAAGCTGAAAGAAGATAACTCTAATCAAAAACTTAGGTTTCAACCGTAAATTTTTGAAAGAAATACACGAAAAAAAAACTTTTGATAGATCCAGCAGTTTTTTTTCGAAATTATTTTTTTATTTAGAGAAATAGTATTGTTACTTGTTACATTCATTTTTGTACAATGTGTATTTGTAGATTACCATTGTAGTTGTTGATTTTTAATTTATTTTGATAGTTTCATTTTGAAGCAGCATGTATAGTTAAGCAAGTGGTGATTTTTAATTTAATTAATTGAGAAAAAAAAGAAATTGTTCATGTTGTTTGTACTTCGTGTTTGATAGAAGTGGC